TCGGGCCCCGGGCCCCGGGCCTGGGCTGGCAGCTGCGGGCAGAGCGGCACAGGCTGTGTGTGCAGAGGAGCTGCTGGCTCGCCTCGGGCTGTCCCTGCGTGCCCTGGGCTGCCCGAGCCCCTCTGACAGCGGCACCAAAGCGGGGCGAAACGGCCGAGCGCGGGTGGAGGGTTTGGGGAGCCCAGGCCCGGGCAGGACCCTGTCCCGTCAGGATTCAGGGAAGGGCTCTGCAGTGCTTGGTCAGGCAGCCAGTGTTCCCAGGAGCAGAGGAACAAGGGCTGGCTGTGGGCTGATGGGCCGGGATTTTGGGTGGTCATGGTGAAGATGAGCACAAGCAGTGCCAGGGCATGCGGGAAGGCGAGGGACTGGTATCTGCTCTGTGCCTCTGACAAACCGCTGAGAAGGGGAGAAGTGCTGCTGTGGCTGGGCGCTTCTGCTTCCTCACCTTGCTAAGTTTTGCTACCGAGTAGATTTACATGTCATTAACAGGTTGTCTACTTAGTGCCAGCTGCCCTGACACTGCTTGTCAGCATCAACCCTTCAATAACAGGTATGATATTGGTGTGCAAAGCAGTCTCTGCTCAAATTTTACCCTCAAAAGGCTGTTTTGCTTTTTATTTTTTTTAATTTAACCATTGATTAAAGTCAGCCTGTGTGGAAACACATCCTACTACCTTCTGAGGGCAAAAAGCTGCAAGACCTATTTCTACAGAAGCTGGTTTTAGTGTTGGTGGCTGGACATGCTGCAGGTGAGGAGAGGAAAGAAAGCCCAGCTGCTGGGATGGGTTTGCCTTTGCACCCCAATTCCAGCTCAAAGCCTTCCAGAGCAGAAGCCTGGGAGCATGCTCTGAACCTGGCTCTGTGTTGACCTTAGCACTTTAATTGACTTTGTTTCATTGTTGTAAATCTGTGTTTTTGTTTATCAACCTCATGCAAGAGCATCTGAGCTTTGCACAGTTCCATGAAAGGGCTAAAGGTCCTGTTCAGTGCCAGGTATTACAGAGCAATGAGCAGCAATAGAAACATTCAAAGGCTGTGTTTCCAGGATCTGTGTTGTGGGAGCTAGCAGCAGTTCAGAGGATCATTCAGGTCAGATTTGTTTCAGGTCTTCAGAACATAGTTAAGATTTTTTAAAATTTAAATTCAGTAGAAATAATTTAAAATAAGGCCATTTTATATACAGAAAGTGACTGTTCTGGATGAATGCTTGTCCTGAATAAACTAAAATCGCACTTAAAACCTTCAGGAGTGCACAGTATTGTCACAAATTACACCATTGCAGTCTCTTGGCATTCTGGACACCTTAAACATATAAAGTGGCAGCATTCCTAAGTTCAGAACTCATAAGGGTTGGTTGCTTTTGGTTTTGAGTATTTCAGGGGAGGTTTATTGTGTGATAGGTGTCATAATGTCATTTGGCTGGTCAAGAGAATCTGCATGTTAAACTCACAGTTGGGGTTTTCCTTGTGCCAAGATCTGTGAAAATAAAGATTATAATAACACAACTTTTGTAAAACTGCAGGTTTATGTAAATTCACCAAGAAGTATTTGCCATTAAAGTCTGTGGAAGATCCAGATGGGTTTATTTCACGCTTCATGATAGTGGCTGACAGTCTGGTTTTTTCCCCAGACAATGGTGTTTGGAGGAGCCTCTGTAACCTTCATTCTGCTGGCTGTGTTGTTGGGACCATTGCCTTGGCTTGCTCTTTGTTTGCTTATGCTCAAGGAAACATTTTTCACGAAGAGGAAGGCAGGTGAGCAGTGGGGTTTATTTGCACCTGTCCAAATCCAGCTCACCAGGCCATCTTCTCCAGGTGTCACCATCCAAAACTTTATTTCCTGGGCTGTTGCAGTGATCGCTGTAGGTCCAGAGGAATCAGACCAAAGAGGAGGGACCATAATGCTCCAAACCAGTGACTCCTTGGACGCAGGGAGGTGACCATTCATTGCTTCCCTGATTGTGGCAGTTAGATCTACTTGTCTGGCTTTCAGAGACCAAGGCATAAGCACACTGAAACAGCTTTGTGCTCTTTCCCTGGAGCTTCAGGAGAAGGAATTGATGTTTTAAAAACTCTTGAGGCGATACCAAATGCATGCTCATCTGGCATGGTCTGCTGAGTCCTCCAAGGGATTGAGGACGAGGAAGAATTTCTCACCTGAACATTCAGGAGTTGCCTGAAAACAGGTGCTTACAAAATACTGAGGTGAAGCCCTGGCAGCTACTTCTGTGCCTAATCACAGTCTGGAGAACTGGGATGTTGCATTGCTCTGTTTCAGTGAGAGAAATGTGCCTGCTTTGCCTATGTTAATTAGAGAAATCTGCTATGGAATACAAGTCCAGCAGTAGAACAAAATGTGGAGGCAGGAATTCCTGCAGCTCTTTAGCTGTCATGTCAATTTGCGGTGTGAAACGAAGTTACTCTTTGAAAATACCTTTATAATTATAATCTTACTAAAATACAGTGAACGTCTCCAAAGGAGCAGCCACTACTGTTTTGGAGGCAAAATTTGTATTGTCAGAATGTATACCTCTGTTTGTATTATTTTCTGATTTTATTTTTTTTTGGCTTTTTAGAGAGTTGTTTGGTCTGGTGATTATTACAATATGGATGAGTCTTTGTCGCAGTTCAGCAAAGTAAGTTTTATTTTCTATTTATAATTCATTCCTATGTTCACAATTAGTGACTAGCTCCTTGGAAACACACAGTTGATTTTGGCAGCTTTTTTCCCTGTTTCATGTCACCCTCTGAACCTTCCAGATGCCCAAGCAGTAGCAGCTGGTGCTACAGCCTGCAGGATCTTGCACAGATAAAAGTTGGGGCAGGGGGAACGTAAGGCTACATGAAGCACTTTTCTGGCCCCTTGCCATAATAGGGGCATTTTCCCTTTGCTTGAGTGCTTTTTTTTTAAATTCCAACTAGTTTGTATAGCCTGAGTTGTCAGAAAATTCTTTGTGCCTCTCCAGTAGAGGACTGGTGATGCATCTGTGGGAACCCCATTAAAGTGGCCAAAGGCTCTCTGCTGTCTTTCCAGCTGCAAGCAGATGTGAGTGTTATGTGGTAGCTGTAGCAGAGGCCAAGAAGGCCAAGGACATCCTGGCCTGTCCCAGCCATGGTGTGGTCAGCAGGACGAGGACAGTGCCTGTCCCCTATGCTGGCACTGCTGAGGCATCTCCAGTCCTGGCGTCAGGTTTGGGCACCTCACTTCAAAAAGGACTTTGAGGGACTGGAGCGTGTCCATGGAAGGGAACAGAGTTGGGGAAGGGTTTGCAGCACCAGGTGTCATCACAGGAGGTGGAGTGGTTCAGTTTGGATAAAAGGAGGCTTGGGGGGACCTTTTCACACTTACAGCTCCCTGACAGGAGGGTGCAGCCAGGTGGTGGTCAGGCTCTGCTTCCAGAGAACAAGGGACGGGACCAGAGGAGACAGCCTCAAGCTGTGCCAGGGGAGGTTGAGATTAGATCCTAGGGAAAATTCCTTCACTGAAAGAGTGGTCAAGCATTGGTGATGGAGTCAGCATTCCTGGAAGTGTTCAGAAGAAACGACTGGATGTGGCACTGCACCATAGGGTTTAGTGGGTATGGTGGTATGCAGTCCAAGGTTGGACTTGATGATGATGAAGGTCTTTTTCAGCCTTAAAGATTCAGTGATTTGAAGTAGCTCTGTTGGATTTGTTCTGTTGTAGGAGTCCCCTGGGAGGAGTTCGCTTGGTTGCTGCAGTTGTTGTTGCCCTCTTCCCTTTTGTTTCGTGGTTGTACATTTATGTGAACAAAGACATGCGAGAGTCTTGGCCAACACACTGCAAAACAGTGATGTAATTGGGTGGAAGTCTACAGTAACTGTGCTGACCTTACTGCCTTTGGTTTTGGTGCTTAACGAAAGGTGAGTGTTAGTTTGACAGGACCCAAAAATACCTCACTGCTTCCAGCAGTGCCAGCTGAGATTTGGTAAAATGTTGAAGAACACTGTCAAATCTGAATGGAAAATTTTTCTATGGAAACTGTTCACCTTGCTGCTTCTTACATTTTCCAAGCACCATTGATCTAATGTCTGTTCTGATGGTATATTCAAGATATCATTGCATCCCTGGATCCCTCTCCAATCACCTCATCATTTGGGAAATCTACTATTTTGTAATATAAGGGACAAATAAAGCAAATACTGTTTTAATAAATGACTCTTTACAGCCACAGAACTTTCAAAAATGTGCCTGTATAATCCATTTCAGACTTACCGGAAAATTGAGCAGTCTGTATTTCTGTCCTATGCTAAAATCGTATGTGGAATGTATCTGAAAAAAATATTTTTTGCTATTATCTTTAACTGAAAGTCACTGGCTTTACTGAGTAATAAACACTATTTTTTTAAAGAAAACTCAATGAAAGCCTCCGTATCTTTTATGGGAGATGCATATTCAAGTCTGTCACACACAGACGTGGGTGCTGTCACAACTCTGCTGCTCACCTAATTTTTCTTGGAAAGCAGGACCCATGCAGTAGCCCTGCAGCAGCAAGCATGTCCCACAATTCATCCTGGAGAAGGAAGCACAGGTGGATACACTGGACTCAGGAGCTGGCTGGGACAGAATCAGGACAGCTCCAGGTGTAACACACAACACCTTTATTTACATGGGTGTCAGAGCTCACTCTCAGCACTGCTGCAGGTGATCCCAGCTGTGCACACACGGCACAGCCTGAGCATCTGCAGCATTCTGTGGTGCAGCACAGAGGGTCTCCATTCTCCTCTCAGGCTCAGCTTTTTCTGAGCATCACTTTAGTCTTCTAAAGTAATGTTGGAAGACTCGGTTAGGCTACAGGCTGGATATATTCTGCTAGACATGAGATTTTACTGTAATGTTCACAGAAAATAAACAAATAGAGATGAGGCTGGGCAGGTTCAACTCTGCATGCTTTAATGCTCACAGAGAGAAAAGCAGTGGTTTTTTGAACACTATCCACTACATGGTTTGCATCTTTTCACAGCAGAAATCCGGTCTGGATTGGGTGTTTGAAATCAACATTCTGCATTCAAGTATATTTATTTAAATTACTGACCTTCTTTGTTCTCCAAAAAGAAATCAGGTGCTTTCTTAAAGAAACATAATTTCTAAAATCCTGTATCCAAGAGAAAAACGCCTGAGCCAAAACAATAAGGATCAGCCATGCACAGCTTTCTAAAAGCAAACAGCTGAATCTCCTACATTTTTATCCAACTCCTTCCTCAAGAAGAACAACCTGTATTTGCCTGGTATTTCAGAAATGCATAACTCTGTCAGGAATTCTGCCGCCTCCCTTCAGTACCATTTTATCTTCATAGACGTACATAGTTCCAAAAGCGTTACTTTCCGGCGGCGTCTCGATCAGCCCCTCCAGGGTGAGGTGATGCACTCCGTGAGTGTCCAGGCAGTAGGCACCATCGTGCAGGTGCCCTGCGAGGACACAGACCACGCACCCGTGCGAGTGGATGACTGCCAGGGCAGCCTCGTAATTCCAGGCCAGGCAAACCCCGTTGGAAGCGGAGGGATGAATGGGCAGGTGAGCTGTGGTCCCGAAAGAAAGATGGAGTTAAACTGTAGCAAATCTGCCTCATTGCTGGGAGGTTCAGCCATCCAACTGAGTATATAGCTGACCCCCAGAGTGAGGCATGGTTGCTGTTCTCTGTTCTTTCAAGGGTTCCATCTGTACCTCACCTCACCAACTACATGTTTTCTGCAGCTAACACACACAGGGTAGCTAATTTTATTTTTTTTTCCCCACATATTTCCATGGGAGTATACACCCCCCCATCAAATACAGGGGTTGGATCTTGATTAGTTTTAAGGGCCCTTCCAACCCAAACCATTCTGACTGCCTATATATCCCCCTCCATATCCACCTACCTGCAACTATAACTTTTTCTTGGTTTTCATCAGAGAACTTGAGGACTTCATTGAACCAGTCCAGCTGGGCTTGGCTAAATCCTCCATTAAATGCTACAAAATGAGGTTCTTTGAGCCCTGCAATGAAGAAGAAGATTAGGCACAAATGCATACACCTCCCATGGCTCCTATATTTGCTTTATGTAAATCTGCTGATGGTTGGTTTACTCTCAGAACCTTTGGGGTTTTTATTTTGCATCTCATGCTAAAAAAGATCAAAACTCCAGCCCCCTTGTACAAAGAAGAAGATTATTTGTTAGCTTTCGGGAGTTTTGGTCACACTACACAAGCAGGGTTTTCACTGCTGGCTGTCCCCCGGCACGGGATAGGGTGGGCACAGCTCGGTGCTCTGCACCAGCCGCTTCCCCAGCAGCTGCTCGGTGTTCCGATACTGCGGGGCAGAGCACAGCACAGCCCCAGGCTACCGGGGAGCATCTCCAGTGCCTGGAGCCGCACTGACGGCAGGGGGGCGGGCAGCAATGGGGCACACGCTTCAGCCCCGGCATCCTGCCGTCAGCTCCGGCAGCTCCGGACAGCGAAGGATCGGCCGCCCGCGCCCGGCCGGAGGTACCTGTGGGGCTGTTGAGGTCATCGTTGGGGTTC